CTCCCATGAGGCAAGAGCTGGGGACAGGGCAGGGAACAGGCCAGACTAAACACAAAGTGCACAAAATGGGGAAATTGTAAACAAAGAATAACCTTCCTTGAATCCTTTCCCTCATTATTAGTATTTTACAAGTATTTAACAAATTGCTTTAAAGCCAATTTCTCGCAGTCCTCCTCAAACTTATTTTGCTGTCCCCCTATGAGATATAAGCCCTGCCCCCTATGCCCCCACCAGCAATAACGCGGTTTTACTGTAAAATGTGGAAAAATGCAACTTTCAATAAAACCAAACTTTATAAAACAGGTCAAGAGTTGAACTACACAGTTTAAAGACACAACAACTAATTTGTGAACTCTACATATAAGTGGTGAATTCTCAGTCAACTCTCTGCCTCAGGTGCACAGATCAGGGCCTTTGGAAAATCACACCTTTTTATTCACTTTGACTATAAATAACTTTGTAAATAGTTAATCAAAATAACTCCACTGTATGATTTAGATAGTCAGATACTGGAGGAGTATTTTCCATAGTTTTTCCTCTCCAAATACTAACAAATTTCAGACTGAAGTGGTTTTTTTGGAGCAAGTCATTCAGTGCTCTCATTTTTGCCATAGATCTATTCTTTACGACCACGAGAGTCTGTGAGCTATAGCAGATGACAAAGCAGCACCTTCGGGGGACACACAGCCTTGTACCAAGTAGAGCACCACAGATGTAGTTTGCAGAAGTGCTGCCTAGACCATCTCTAAAGCAAAGAGTCTCCTTTGTGGGGGCAAAGGAGAGGCCAGTACTAGACCAGCTGGTGGCTTGGATCAATGAGACAAAATGCAGACAGAGGAGGACTGGCTTATATGACAGCATCTGGACAGGGGCAACACACCCCTGAGTGAATGTGGATTTCAAATGGGACATGGCGTACAAGTGAAACGAGTGTCCATAAGAGGATTAAGGCCTTCTGTTTGAAGTGGTGAACAAGGCACACTCCAGATAGAATGTGATCCACAGACACACTGGCAGGTCCACCTGATGGCCACTGGCTAATGACAGCACTCAGGGCCTTCTGACATGGTTATAATATGGAGGCTTCCTACTGGTCCACAGCTGTCCAGCGACACGCAAGATGTTGTATAAAAGGCAGGACCATGAAACCAGAGAACATGATAACACCAAATATTGTTGTAATCTCTGGACAGTCTGGCACCAGGTCCATAATAAGTCTCTAACACTTCTCATTTGCAACGGTACTAAGAGAAGATGAATGTAAAAACTAACCCAACGTGGGCTGGAAAAAGCTAGCGGAAGGTATGGCACAGGCGTCAGAATGAGTATGTTTGGTTTGGAGTCTGTCATCGGTTCTTGAACAAGTAATAAATGTATACTCTGAGACTGACGCCTTTGTCAATGCAGCACTATGATAGGTTCAGGGTTTTCAGGCGGATCATGGGCATTCCAAATGCAGATAATGGAGGTCGATGTGGTTCAAAAGAAAGTCCACTCAGATAATTAAACCAAAAAGCTACTCTGAAGCAAGCACGAGCGGCAATGGACAGCACCTTTATTTTAGTACTTTTCTTTAGGCCACTCTGTCGGTCAGGCTCAGGTTGGTTTTGGACTTCAGTTCTACTTTGACACTTTGCATCCTTAACAAGTATGAAAAGCCGGATTGATGAGTTCATGTCTTTAATGTGTGAAGCAGTATACACAATACAGTTATGGGAACAGTGATAAAATGTAATTGTGCTTGAACAAATATGTGTGAATAATGAAGAAAAAAGGAAAAATAATCCAAGCATAGAAAAAAGCAATTGATTTATTTTGGTCAAAGAAGGTCAAAGATAAATGGACCTATAAATGGACCTATTGTGAAGTGGATACAGATCAATAATAAAGTGGATCAAATTGATAAAGCGCTTTTCTGGATACTCAGAAGCACTTCAGTTGGAATTATTCCTTCAATTTGTAAACAGTGATGGTAAACTACCACTGCGTCAGTCTGCCCTGGAGGCTACTAATCTGTGCCATCAGCCCCCGTGACACATTTTTCTACTGTAATAAATATCGAAGAGTAAGGTGACAAAATGATATTTCTAATGCAATCAACACAATAATAATCCAATTTGATTTATTAAAAATATACCTTTTGTGTTATCAATGATGGTAAAAAAAAAAATAGCATCATTTTGAAATTTGAACCCTAACCCATCTCTAAAACAAGTATTACAGTCATTTCCACCTCTAGACTTGTTGCCTTCATGTTCATTAACATTTTCTATGTTTTCTATGAAATATATGAAATCTTACTTGTAGGTTTCAGTAACTTATATTACTTATATTTCCGTTTAACCTTAATAATTACAGATGAAAAGAGAAAACACCTAGATCATCAAAGTCCATCCATGGCACTGAGTTGATTCAGAATGGTAAGAGGAACATTACATTTTCCTCAGTTGCATTATGACTGATCCTTTAGAGTGCAAGGCTCCACTCCTTTGTTGTCTGTAAAGGCTTCATGAATGTAAGCTCACAAACCGAAGCATGACTAGAATCGTTTTTGATCAATCAACCAGTACAAATAACATTTTGTGGCATTTCAGATTTGACTCAAGCCTAGCAACAGAGGAGCATATCCACCAGTGGAATTCTACCAGTCAAATTACTGCAGCTGCTGGCAGATACAGACTCCAAACGTAGAGGGCAACTGTGTACACAAACAACTGTGGTACCAGACTCTTTTCTATCTGCCCCGGCCACAGACACAACTTTATCTTTTCTGTACTTGTTCCTTGTGCTGATTCACTGACGTGCTGGTGCTCAAAAATAATCATTCCCAAACAGAAAGGGAAGTGAAGTAAAACAGCTGATGTATAGACTGATTGTTATTATTATTATTATTATTATTATTATTACTATTATTATTACTACTACTTTACTACTTTACTGCTTTATGGTCCATAGACATAAAAAATCTAACTGACAATCCAAAACAACAAAATAATACGTTCTGCTAATGTTATTTCCTGACACTGCTAATATTGTTACTTAATGTATGAACCATTTCCATCGTTCATAAAAAAAACTACTATTTAATAGTAAAATAAAATGTTTCCTACTTTCCAATCCATTCTTGTGAACATTGTGGCCATAATTTCTGATGCTGAAAAGCACAGGGGTCACAGGTTCAAGCAGAGAATGCCTCAATGACCAGAGGCACAGGCTCGTCCTTGTCACAGTTTAGATGTCAAGAAAAGGGGCATTTTAAATGAGTCATGCACCCACCCTGAAAAGTTGCCCGCAGGCTACAGGCCGGCTGACACACAAGTCTATTAACAACAATCACGCCTCACAAGGAATGGGTCGAGAGGCCAGCTGTCGCCAAAATGCACCATTAATATTTAAATCACACCCAATACAAGCTTATTGACAATTTATAGGAAGCAACAACTGACTTGGAGATGCCAATAAATAAATTATTCCAGAACATTTTAAATGAATAATTTAAATATGTTAGATGCAACTGTGAACCAGAAACCTCGACATCCAGAAAGTTAGTTCCTAGATTAGATTTATAGGTGAATATCTCAATTTACAACTAGCTCCAAAAAGGTTGAGTCTCTGTACCACACTGAACCACACTCTCCCAAACTACAATCATATCCTTTATTTATGGTTAGTTTAGAGCAAATCTACGAGAATCGTAGATGCCTTTGGCACTGATCAACATGCTCTAATCTAGTAAAGCCCTAAAATAACCTTTTACTAAATAGAGTTTGAGGGGGGCAAAATGTAATTCCATATGAATGCATTAGGACATGAGGCCAGCCTGTTCTCCATGTGGCCGCCTCATCCAGCAGTGAGTCAGCCATTCTCTCATCTCTACTCGAAGGGAGCTGCCAGGGTCTGTGCCCACCTCTGACTCCACAGACCTGGAGCCTCCACAGAATCAGGCGTCTGAGCTTTAGATGAGCTCATACAGTCTCCATGGGACACCATTTAGTCAGGGTGACATCAATACCTCTGGCACATCACCACAGGCCCACAGAAGCCACAGCCGCCATGGGCAATTTATACCACTCTGCTTACCTCAGGGGAGTTAGAAAATACTTATCTGCTTGTGATTGAGATTTCCAATGGTTGCATATTTTTAGTTTATTAAATGGACTGGGCCTGGCTCTGAGAGCTGGCAGAGTATTCCCCTCCCATTGTTCTACAAAGGGGAGTGTAATCTGTCTTGTTGCTCTAACAGAAAGGAGCTGTCGGAGGAGCTGGGCCCCCACTGCCTTTGCCCTCACTCCACAATAGCTGATCACTTTTGGGGGGTGACATTCATCACATGTGATTATACAGCAGGCTGCATCTATGCAACATACTTTAAATAGAAATCTCCAAGATACTATTGGGAATTTGCAGGTTAACATGAAATACTAACAGAAATACTCATGCTTTAAAGTGGGATCACAATGGAGAGAGCATACATCCAAATGTTAGCTCGCTTCCCTTGAGGCCAATGATGATTTCTCTTCTCAGTCTATTACAGAACAATGGGCTTCGGCGAATGGGGGTCAGACAGAGCCACACAACAGGTTTTCGAATTAAAACATCTGAAAATAATACAACAAGAAAGCAAGAAGTCCTCCTTTATGATTCATTCTGAGTCCGTACAGTGTTCCAGCGTGCATAAGCCGGTTTACTGCGCGTTTAAAGCAAAAGTGGACCCGCCACCGCCCCTTCATCCATCTGCCAGAACCCGGAGAGGGTCCTGTCATGTTACAATACGCTTTATTACAGCGTCATATATCTTCTTTAACTCTTATCTACACATTTATCACTGTATGTGGGGTACACGTGCCACCCCATTGAGCCAACAGCGAAACTAACCGATATTTTAATGTTAAGAGACACGGTCGTAATGATTCAGACAGACGTGATAAGTGTAATTAGCACAAACTGACATTAGCATGCTATTGCTAACGCTCGGGCTATCAGCGTGTCTACGGTCTTACCAGTCAGAGCAGCGGACAAGAGCTAGCAAAAATCCTCCAGCTACGCCCAGTTTTTGCCACTTGAACCCGGCTGGGATCAGGACAAATGAGGCGAAAGAGAAGATGGGAACTCGGACAACCCAGTGGAAATGTGCACAGGAGGAGCAGGGCGGACCGAACCGAGTCAACACACGCCAAAACCCTTCCCTCCAAGAGTGATGCAGCAGCGGCAGCAGCTCTGAAGGAGAATGGAGGAGAGTCACGCTGGAGACACCGGCGTGAGGAAGAGGAGGAGGAGGAGGAGGAGGAGGAGGAGGAGGAGGGATGAAGAGCCCAGGGAGGGGAAGAAGACAGAGCTGCTGCTGCCTTCACGAGCTGCGGAAATATCCCTCATAAACTATACCATTTTACTGAAATTAAAGCTGGGGTACCCATTTTTTATTGTTTATAAATACTACGTGGTGTTTGTCCCAACAGAATAAGTTTGTAAACGAAAACTATTGCGAACAAATCAGACCACACCATGCTGTCAACATCTTATTCGTTAAAAAATAGTCTCTAATTGACGTTTTGGGCTGATAGCTGTAAGCTGAGAGAGGGTGGTCTTCTCTTTTACTACTTTTCTGTATGAAAAGGCTGATCTACAGATGTGAATACAATACAATACATGTGAAAACTAGTGAAAGAACAACACTTTTGAGTCCAAGGAAATAAGTAGGTGGATTTCTGTGTTGATCCATTTGTTGTGGGTCAAAGGTTAGTTAGGCTACACCAGCCCTAATGTAGCATTATTAAAACAGCTTACATTTACAACAATATCCTGGTTACAGCATCCATAGTAAATGTTAATAACAGTAGCTATAGTATATCAGTCAAGTCACAGTTTGAATGTAAAAAGTAAAATAATACCTCTGACTTTTTCATCACGCCGAAAGGAAACTATTTTATGATTTGTTTAAAGCAACATTGTGTAACTTTCTGCATGTGGTACTTACATCACATGCCTGATTCCATGGATATAAACTCTATAAATAGAATAATTCCCTGTTGCAGATTGCTAGATCATTATTTACAAGACGAATTTTGCCAAAGGAACAGCCTGATGCGGACAAGTAGAATGAGACTGATGTGTCAGATGTGTCACTATTTTTTTCTTATTTGGTTAATCTCAGTAGTTGTTAGTTTATTTAAAAAAAAAAAAAAGGACATATCTGTTGAAACATGCCTTTAATAGCAGCTCATTAACTCCTAAACCTTGATCCGAGAAAAGCTTCTTCTACAGATATTTATCTTTATCTGGATTTATATACTTGCTGTTCTGAGTTTCAACCATGGCACACATATTCAGAACAGAGTGAATTTGTTTGCTTACTACGCAGTGCCATTTTACTGCATCAATCTACTGGTACTTATGCATAGGTTGCGAAGTTGTCCGGAAATGTAACCTAATAGTAGTATATTTGTATCTTTGCAGAACATCCACATCTTTTTGGGCTCCGTAAACGCACCATTGAGCACCACATCGCGCCATGCTGGAATTGAAAGAGCTGAATAGCGAATGGCAGGAGAAGTTTGGTTTGTGTGAGGAGAGCCAATCACCTCCCAGGCTCCGGGATTATTCAAATGAGGTATGATGTCATCTCTTGCAAGTCACACTGTTGCTTGGACCCTCTCAGTTGTCTGTCTCCCCCTCCCTCTAGGCCCCTACACCCCTTTCACTCCTCTTCAAACCTCTTTTTTCTTCCTTTCTCCATGCCCCACTGCACATGAACGCACACACACACAGCACACACACACACACACACACACATCGAATTGCCTTCATTGTTCCCTGTTGTTATCACATCCACAGGAATTCAATCTCTTTTAACAGGTTACAAACATGGTGCGAGACATATTAAATCTTTATGTTACTATTTAAGTGATGGCGATTTCACATATTTGAATAAAAAAAATATTCCAGCGGCTTCCAAATGCGTTTCCTTTGTCTCAAAGTCACTTTTTTGTAAGCAGAAGTGGAGGCGGATTGACTCATGCACCTGCTGCGGAGTTCAGTCTGAGGCAGTGGGAATGAAAAGAGCAAAAATCGAAGCAGAAAGGAGGGGCCCAGAGTGAGGTAATCCCCCAAATGGCTCCCCCCATACAACAGTGTGTGTGTGTGTGTTTTACAGAGAGGCATTGTTTCATTTACTTTTGTTACAGCACATTCATGTACACTTAGTTGGGGCCACTTGATATTTTATGTCGATAAAGAAAATACCAAAGTACAAACTAATCCATTACCTGGTTATTTGCACACAAAACATTCTTATTCATTTACGTGTTTGAAAATGAACAAAATCTGAAAAGTATAGTATTAGCACATTATCCAAGATTTGCTCTGAGGTGTATTTACAATATTGGAAAGTAAAGTCATATGTTCAGAATAAATTGCAAGTGGACACATTTTATAGTATGATTTGATTTGATGAAAACAACTTTATGCTGCGCCTCCTCCAGGATAAATATGAGTCATGTTTGTGGAGATGCAGTCCCACTCACAGCATGGAGGATTTTTTCCAGTCCATAAAATGACTAATTGATTTGAACGTCTGATGATTATTACTTATCATATAGCTGATCAGGTTTTAAACTTTTTTAAAATTAATTATAATGAATGGAAAACGTACACATTTATTGCATTCCATAAGTGGTGAGGTTGAGGGACTGTTTAAAACTCAAATGGGTGTTGAATCAGACATAGAGGGGCATTGTTTCAGAGCTTTTGTTTGAGGACTGCTCAGTCTGGGTGGGCATGCCGCCGGTCTGTCTGTAGTTCTGTCTGTCTGTCTAGAGCAGCGCTGTTCATCTCCCAGCGGCCGCCTGCTCTGTCTCCATGGGTCTGTCTTTTGTGTGCGGCTGTGTTTCTGGATGGCCTTCTATTGTGAAGCGCGCTTCTCTTTCCAAGTCCCACAGAGGTCGGACCGGGCCCTGCTATGCTACATTGAGCCCAGACAAACACAGAGCATCATATTGGGGAATATGTTTTGGATGTTAGGAAAATTCATTATTTTCCGATGTAAAATGGTGCTATAACTTCATAGATGTGAACATTTTACTGTCTTTATCATGTTGGCATTCCTCGAGTTTGTGACCAGTTTGAACAAAATTATTAAAGGATTATATGTCATCATTATATGTCAGGTGAAAAACAATATAGAGAACTATAGATTGAATGGAAATTGACTTCTCACAGTGGTTGAAATGATTATATTTAGTTTTAACATCATATATTATATACACATCTATGTATGTATGTACTGTTTTTTCAAATATTTCATTTCATAACATACACATTTTATCTGAGACTTTGTAGTTACATAGTTGTATCTAGTTGTCCATGAGTAGTTCAATTGGTGACCTGTCAGGATCTGACACTGTCCTGCGGAGTGCCCCAGGGCTCCATGTTGTGCCCCATGCTGTTTTAGCACTGAGTTTGATTCTAGCCAGGCACAGTCTTGTCTTTTGTATCCTTCTGTTTATTCCTTTAACTAATCTTTAACTCATTTGGTTGGGGAGAATGTCTTATTCAAATGAAGACAAAACAGGGAAAACATTGTTTGGTGACTGAATGTTCTGATTCCTTATGGGGCGCTGAGGTCTGATGCTTCCTGAACGCCTCTCTGTGGAGGTGTTCCGGTCATGTCCCACCGGGAGGAAACCCCGAGGAAGACCCAGGACACACTGGAGTGACTATGTCTCTCCTCTGACCTGGGAACACCTCAAGCTGGACCAAGTGTGTGTGGATAGGGAAGTCTGGGCATCTCTGCTTTGACTCCTGTAGATAAAGCGGAAGAAAAGGAATGGATGGACAATGAACAAGAGCGTGTTTTAAAGTTTCTTAATGTCCTTGAACCGTCTCATTTGACCCAGCACTTAAGCGTCTGAAAAGTCCCTAGAGCCAGACTGGGTCAGGAGCCTTCTCTCTCTCTGTCTCTCTCTCTGGTCCCAGATTCTAGACCAAAGTACCCAGACCTATTTATGCAGATTGATTAATGCAGCCCACTTTTTTACTTGCACTTTTGGTGTTGGAAAAGGCCTTTTAAAAGTAAGATTATAGCTTTATGTATACAGTATATTATATTCAGCAAAAGACTTAAAATAGATCAATGGAGTGCATAGTTATTGTTACATCAGAACCAGAGGGTCTTGGCAGCTCTAAACACACTGGGGGAACAATTTTTAATATGTATATTTGTATTATTATACATGTACTGTATTTCTATTTAAGGAGTTATGTCACAGATGATTTTACCGCATAGAATGGCAGAAATTTTGAAATGGTCTGTTGTTTCCCACCTGAGTATAAACATAAATGAAGGTCAAGTCAACATGTGCATGCTTGATTAGGATGTTTACACACCTAATCCTTTGGAATAAATGGCCGGCTTGTACCGGAGCATTAATGTGATTACATCGGCAGCTTGCAGGTGGACGGCCTGAGATTATAGCAGGAGAAGTGGGTGGAGACTGTGTGGCTGATGCCTGCTGGACATATTGGCATGGTCCAGCAGCTCCAACAAAGAGAGGAAGGTGTATTTTTTTCATGCCGGGCAGGAGACAGGAAAAGGCAGCGGTGTGTACCCCGTTGGGCTGTTCCATGTTGACTATTTCATTGTTTTTTTCCTCTTTGTTTTTCCCTCTTCTGCGCAGCTGGAAAAGCACCTGTCAAAAATGACTCCGTTATAGAGATAGAATGGACAGACAGACAAGACAGGCAGGTAGACAGCAGAAGTCAAAACTATAGTGCAAGAGTAAGGTTCAGTGAAAAAAATCAATTCAAATTGAACTTTTGCAAAATGGGTCATTTATTTTGGATCTATTTAATTACATTTATTTTTAAAGACCACAACAAAGGAACGGACAGCTGTGGAGTGAAAGCAAAATGATTTATACATGAAAAAAGGTCAAAAGTGAGACTTATTCATACAACATTTCTGCAAGTGCATTTAAAATCCTTTGTAAATGTCACGATGCAAATAAGGAAGAACCAAAATGCAGGATCTCAAAAATAAGTATTTCTTAAACATGAAATCAAGACAAAATCCAGAGTAAAAATATATTACTTAACCATGTAATGTATGGGGATGAAGACAAAAACCAGAACAGGGAACAAAGGAATACACAGGGCTATACACAAGACTAACAAGACACAGATAACACACAGGACAGGACAGGTAAACAGACAAAAGGAAGTCGAACTAAGAAAGATACAGGGATTGACAGATTACAAAACACGAACTAAACCTAAACCATGAGTATGTCCTAATGACTGCTGAATACTCACATACAGTGGGGCAAAAAAGTATTTAGTCAGCCACCAATTGTGCAAGTTCTCCCACTTAAAATAATGACAGAGGTCTGTAATTTTCATCATTGGTACACTTCAACTGTGAGAGAGAGAATGAGAAAAAAAATCCAGGAATTCACATTGTAGGATTTTTAAAGAATGTATTTGTAAATTATGGTGGAAAATAAGTATTTGGTCAATAACAGAATTCAACTAATTAGAAGGAGGTTTTGGCTCAATATCTCTCGATACATGGCCCCATTCATTCTTTCTTTAAATTAACACGGATCAGTCGTCCTGTCCCCTTAGCAGAAAAACCGCCCCAAAGCATGACGTTTCCACCCCCATGCTTCACAGTAGGTATGGTGTTCTTGGGATGCAACTCAGTATTCTTCTTCCTCCAAACACGACGAGTTGAGTTTATACCAAACAGTTCTACTTTGGTTTCATCTGACCACATGACATTCTCCCAATCCTCTGCTGTATCATCCATGTGCTCTCTGGCAAACTTCAGACGGGCCTGGACATGCACTGGCTTCAGCAGGGGGACACGTCTGGCACTGCAGGATTTGATTCCCTGTCGTCGTAGTGTGTTACTGATGGTAACCTTTGTTTGGTCCCAGCTCTCTGCAGGTCATTCACCAGGTCCCCCCGTGTGGTTCTGGGATTTTTGATCACCGTTCTCATGATCATTTTGACCCCACGGGATGAGATCTTGCATGGAGCCCCATATCAAGGGAGATTATCAGTGGTTGAAATATTGTTTTGGGCTACATTTGGGCTGTCTTTTACAGATACCGAGTTCAAACAGGTGCCATTAATACAGGTAACAAGAGGAGGACAGAAGAGCTTCTTAAAGAATAAGTTACAGGTCTGTGAGAGCCAGAGATCTTCCTTGTTTGAAGTGACCAAATACAGTACTTATTTTCCACCATAATTTACAAATAAATTCTTTAAAAATCCTACAATGTGAATTCCTGGATTTTTTTTTCACATTCCGTCTCTCACAGTTGAAGTGTACCTATGATGAAAATTACAGACCTCTGTCATTATTTTAAGTGGGAGAACTTGCACAATTGGTGGCTGACTAAATACTTTTTAGCCCCACTGTATTTCTCCAACGATTTACCGTAATAGAGCCCACTGATGTGTAATCTCCTCTCAGTATAATTACAGCTGTTC